GGAGAAAGAAAGAGAGAGCGGGGGAAAGAAGGGTTGGGAATTCCCAAAAAGGAGGGAAACTTAAAAATAATTTAATTCCTTAATTAATTTCCTGGTTAATCTGGAATTTTATCTCACGGAGGGTAATGGACAATCTCCCCAGACTGCAGGCTGATCCTTTTTTCAAAGCCCGAACTACTTCCATTTCTATGCAAATATCAGAAAACCGAACACCCTTCCTCCCAAGTCAGAGAAGGGGAAGCGACGGCTCTCCAGGTTGGGACAATATTATCTGGAAGATGAAGAGGAAACCGAACGCTCTTTTTTCCCCCCTCCTTCCTCCCCACCCCTTTCAACCGGAGGACAGAAACCTCAAGGTCTGCAAAGGTAAGGGAGATTCTACAATTTTCTTCTTATTCTTTTGCCTCGATTTTGTAGGTGGGGCTTGGGTTTGTCTCCCCCCTCCTCTGTCCAAGATGGGGCTGAACCCCACCTCTGGGTGCTGCAGGGAGAGGCTTCCCAGGAAATTCGGCGGTAGAGCGAGGGGGTGGCTGCTTCCTGGAGGAGGAACGAAGGCAGGGAAGATGGGAGGAGGACCCGAAAGGGGCCACAGAGGCGAGCTCTAAGTCGCCTTTTTAAGCCGGGAGGAGAGGCTCAAGCGAGGGGGCTGCCAAAGGGAGGATGGGGGTGTTTGGGCTTCAGGGCACTCGAGGAAGAAGCCGGTGGCTACAGCCTCTGTGGGTTTGTGCCTCCACCCCCTCCCACCATCCCTCCCTCGTTCTGGCCTCCCCCCAATTGCCCCTACGCTGTTCTCTTGCCCGGTAAGGGTGTCGGCAGTTTCCCGGCAGCATTGGCACGAGGGGCGGTGGCGCGGAGGGCCGTCCTGGTCTCTGGAGGGCCTGGAATCTCCGCAGAGGCCGTGGCGGGCAAGGAGGCGGCTAGAGAGAGACAGAAAGAACAATTTACGGAGAAACATGCTCATTCTCTCGCTTTGGAAACATTTCTGAAATTAAAGGGCTGTGAGTGGAGGCACCTAAATGGAGGTACTCCCCTCCCCCCAGCCTGCCTGAGAATGCCCAGGTCTCTGGCCACTCCCGAAGGAGGGAGCCTGCTCTGCAGGGAGACCATGTTGTGGTGTTGAACGCGGTAGGTTACAATGTGCTGGTTCTGTGCTGCGCTGATGCTATTACTTGTGTTTTGTTGGTTTG